ATATTGTTCACCACGCCAATTTGAATATGGAATCAGAATTGGCATGTAAGTATGACTTCAAAACAACATCATATTGACTGTAAACATGGTTGTACTTTGATAGTCATTGGCTGCTAATATGATTTCTCAATTTAATATTTGCAAGAATATTTTTTTTTAATTATGTTGTTGAGGAGAATGTCTGAATATCCGAATATAAAACCAACTTTACCTCTATAATAGAAGGTTCTATCTGACATTTTTTGTCAAAATTGAGTTATTCACATATTCTTATTAAATGATAATATTTATTTACATTGTAATGTTTTTTTATAAGCTGTTGTTTACATTTTAGGAATTTTTATTTAAAAAACAAAAGCGGTTTATCTACAAAGTTGAACTCTAGCTTGGCTCTATAAGGTTCTTTCTGTGAGCCAATCAGCATTTTTAATGCACGCACGAGGACCAATCAGGATCAGCTTTCTTTGTCATTTTGCCAGACTGCTCTATTGACAGCGGGAAAGACCAAAAAGACAAAATCACACAATATCAGAGTCGACTAAATATTGCCGCACCACACAAAATTGAGAAGAAAGCTCAAACGGAAAAGGTGTTCTTTTTGACATTGATAAAATGATTAAATTTTACATTGTTAAAAAAGGAACAAATATAAAAACATGTATTATAATAAATTTGAAATATTTTTATTTGTGTTTATATGGCAAGTGAAGATATTGTAGTCAGAATTATTTTATGAATTTTTATTTATTTTTAAAAAATATTTTCCAAATGATGTTTACCAGAGCAAAGAAATTTTCACAGTATGTCTGATAATATTTTTTCTTCTGGAGAAAGTCTTATTTGTTCATTTCGGTTAGAAGAAAAGCAGTTTTTAATCTTTTAAACACCATCTTAAGGACAAAAGTATGGGCCTCTTTAAACTGTATTTGTTTTCGATAGTCTACAGAACAAACCATTGTTATACAATAATTTACCTAATTACCTTTACCTGCCTAACCTAATAAACCAAGTTTATTAGGTTATTAGTTGGTCCTGCAAACAACTATTCAAAAAAAGTAAACAATAAAAAAACACTAAGTAAACAACAATAATAATAATAATAATAATAATTATTATTATTATACATTCATTCATTTACACTCATTTTTTAGTCCCTTTATTAATCTGGGGTTGCCACAGCGGAATAAACCACTAACTTATCCGGCATATGTTTTACAAACGGGATGCCTTTCCAGCTGCAACCCATCTATGGGAAACATCCATACACACTCATTAACACTCATACACTATGGACAATGTAGTTTACCCAATTCACCTGTACCGCATGTCTTTGGACTGTGGGGGAAACTGGAGCACCCAGAGGAAACCCACGCAAACACAGGGAGAACTTGCAAACTCCACACAGAAACGCCAACTGACCCAGCCTAGGCTGGAACCAGCAACCTTCTTGCTGTGAGGCGACAGCACAACCTACTGCACCACTGCGTCACCCCATTATTATTATTATTATTATTATTATTATTATTATTATTATTATTATTATATAGGCCTTGGTCACATCAATCATGCAAACCAGGTTCTACTCGGAAATTATATAGTTATTTATTCGTTTTCCTACTTTAAACCAAAAATCGAGCCAAAATCTTGTTTTTTCCGATTTTTTTGTGAGGAAAAGAAAAACTGAAGTTTTCCTTTTTTTGTTTAAAACAAATATGGAATGGCCTACCCAAACAACAAAAAACAAAGCAAAACAAACAAACAAACAAACAAACAAACAAACAAACAAAAAACTAAACGTTTTCAGCTTTATAAATACAAAATACAAATCATAATTGAAAATATGTGTAAAACACTTGTAAAGAATGTGATTACTAAAAATTTAGTAAAATCAACACAATACTTTGTGCCTTATTTATGTTGATATTTCTTAGGTTTTACTAATAAAATTCTAACAATTTTACCAGTGATGTATATTGGATAACATGGAGCAGTTATGCTAATTGAAACTTACCTAAATATTTACTTCTAGTAAATCTAGAATGAATGTCTGCAACAGTTAAAATAGTTAAAACAATCATTATATTATGATAAATTCTGTCATTCAAAAAAAATCTCTTATTATTTGTGATATTTATTGTGATTATTGTGATGTTAACGTTATGATGGTAACTAATGTCAAAGTAATGAGTACTACAAGTTATGAATATGTACTACAGAAACATTGAAACAGGAACCAACATCATTCTGGAAAATATTCTATCAGGAAGTAAATATTTACAGTAGTAACCTAAAAATAGATGTTAGTAATTATAAGGAATACACGCGAGATTGGCTTGCCATACAATGTATACCATTTCCTTCCTGTCAAAGAGCAGTTCATTAGAAGTTAACCATTAAACAGTGTAAAAGGGCATTTGACAGATAGATCCTTCAGTCTATTTGATGTAAAAGCGTGTCAGAAATACTGTGGACACGTCTGCTTTTAATCCCATTAATGCACAGGGTATAAGTCACCTGACAGTCAGAATATACAGGGCAGTTTTTTTTCCTGGCACAAACACATATTACGCTGTACATCTATTTGTTTATTTATTTATCTTTACATATATTTATGTATTTAGCTCTTACATCTGTTTTAGGTAAATGTATGGAAAGAGCAAAGTGGTCAAAGATTTGGACCCCCTTCAGTTCACCTACAGGGGAGAGAGAGGCACAGACGATGCCTGGAATGAGTAACTTCGTGTGATTTTGCTGCTGAACATATCCAACAGACTACAAATGATGTTCGGGTTTTATTTATAGAATTTAGCTCAGCTTTAAATTCAATTGCGACAGATATTCTTCTGCAACGATTGCTTGATTTAGGAGTGAATCTTATTTGGTGGATTACAGATTTTCTTTTAATGTCGTCCTTAAAGAGTAGTTGTTAATGATATGGTGTCTAAAACAATGATTGTAAATACAGGAGTTCCACAAGGAAGCATTTTATCATCCTTTGCTTTTCTCTCTTTACACAAACGAACTCAAGATGCAGGATTTAGGTTTTAAGTCATTAAATGTGCAGATTTTATGGCACTTGTTGGCCGATTGACTAAAACAGGAGCAGAAGAAGATACCTAGTTACTATAAATTTGCTTCAAAATTGGTGTAGAAGTAGTTCAATCAATTTTAATAAAACCAAGGAGATGATAATTAGCAGAAATAAACTAGTTTTTAGTCAAGGGTTAAAACCTCTGGTCCTTGAGGGACATGAAATAGAGATGTTTTAGAAATATAGGAACGTTTATTGATAGTGTATTGACATTTGCTGCAAATGCAGAGTGCATTTTTAAAAAGGCAATGCAGAGATTATTTCTCATTTGGAGGTTACAAAAATTTGGAGTGAGTTCAGATATTGTGGAGATGATATACAAGAACTTGGTTGAAAGTGTTGTGAGTTAGATTTAGTTATATGCAAATTGATCTAATCGGTGATTAAAGCAAGCTTTTTTCAGCTTCGCCTTCTCTCTAAAGTCAAGCCCTTTCTGAGCAAGGCTGCTCTTGTGAAAGCCATCCATTCTTTTGATAGTTTGCATTTGGACGTCTGTAATGCTCTTTATGTTGGAGTTAACAAGTCATGTCTTCATCATTTGCAGCTCATGCAAAATGCTGCTGTTCGGATGTTAACTAACAGTCGGAAAAGTGAACATATTAAACCAATTCTCTACTCCGTCCACTGGCTTCGACGGTTTAGTTTAGAATTGATTTTAAACTTTTGATGTTCGTTTTTAATGCCGTCAATGGCCTTGCTCCTACGTATTTATGCCAAATTTTGCACATTCACAAACCCAGCCGTGCTTTGCGATCTGCTGACCAACTT